GCCCCTTCCGCCCACCCCGCCCCCGTGCAGACCCGGGCCAGCCTCTCCCCAGCCCTAGGCTGCAGCTGGAGAAGTTTCCGTCTCCATTACCCTGTCTGTCAGGGTGACGGATGAGGAGTGGGGGACGCCTGGTTGCCTCCTGCTGCCCCACCCCCGCAGCTACCCAGGCCTCCGCAGCCAGGGCCAGGCCCGGCCCACAGGTGTCTGTACTGGCAGGGGGGCACTCGCTGCACTTGAGGGGCAGATTTCCCTTGGGCTCTGGCAACTGCAGGGACCCCATGTTTTCTTGACTAGCGGCGGCCAGTGGGTTCCCCCTCCACAACCCCCAGGTCCCCGCCTCACTCCTCACCCCAGGACCCCGTGGCAGGCATCTCGGGAGTTTCTTTCTGGCAGGATCGGTGGAGTCCCCTGGCCCGAGGGTTGGAGTCAAAGAGCTGTCCAGCCCTGCCCCATCCTCGCAGCCTGGCATTCTTGGGCAGGTGACCTTCCCAGTCTGGGCTGGAGCCACTAGCCTTAAAGAGAGGGTTACCCACGCCACACCTGGGGAGCTCCCAATGTACAGGGCTGCCGGGCCTCAGGCACTGGGAGGCACCCACTAGGTGCACCCCTGCTTTCTTTTTTGAGTCAGGGTCTTGCTATGTAATCCAGACTCGAAATCTTCCTGCCTCATCCTCCAGGGTGCTGGGATTACAGGCAGGGGCCACCACACCCAGCTCTGCCCTGCCCCGTTTTGAACTAAGATTTAATCCCACAGGGATTGCTATTGATAACCCTTGGCATAGAGCCCCAGGCGCGCCCCGAGCTCAGGGCTCTGTTTCAAGGGCTCTTTGGGAGCGGGGCGCGGTGGTTGCCCCACGCCGCAGAAGTGTGGACTGCGGCTCCGGTGGCGAGGGCCTTGGGAAGGCTCGGCAGCACCTCGGAGATGCAGCAGAAGCAGCAATTCAGACTCCACAGCCTGTAAAGGTGGCAGCTGTGCCCTCTGAGTCACCCCTGAATTCGGGCCCCGGGTCTGGACCTCTCCCCTCCCCTCTGATCAGCGACCGTCCGAGCTCAGGTCTTCTTCTGCCTGCTAGCAAGCAGGAGGGGCCGGGCCAGGTTCCCTGTGGTCCCTGCCTGGGGCTTGTGGGTCCCTCCGCAGGCCCTGCCTGTTGCTGCCCATGTGGTCCAGAGCACCAGCCTGGTGGGGACTGACAGGCGACGGGTGCCTGGCAGGGTCTGCACCGCCCGAGCCCGGAGTCCCACAGCAGCCGTCTGCGGGGTGTATTTTTCTTTCTCCCCTCCGGTGGGCTCTCCGCAGACAAGTGGCAGGATCGGCGTGGAAGACCAAGCTTGCTCCCTGCTGCTGCGCACCTCCCCTCCCCAAGGACCCACAGCCTCCTAGAGCGTGGGCGGGGAGGCAGACACCCCCCATCCAGGCCCTGCAGACCCCCAGCCTAATTGGTGGGGTGCTGTGCAGAGCACAGGGGAGGGGCCCCACCCCCAGAAAGACCTTGTCCTCACCCTGCAGACTTTGGGAGGCTGAGGCAGGAGCATCCTTAGTTCAAGCCCAGCCTGAGCAACTTAGCAATTTAGTGAGATCCCATTTTAAAGGGACTGGGGATTTAGCTTGGTGTGAAGGCCCTGGGTTCAACTCCCAGTACAGCAACAAACCAATGAAACTCCCCGACAGACAGACAGGGCTGCCCGCTCCGTGTATTTCCTGCCAGCCAGGCCTGAGGACGTGGCCTTTTCACCGGCAGGGACCACTCCTGCTGGGCCTCAGTTTCTCTATTGCTCCGCACGTGGGGCCCAGAGGAGACAGTGGTGTGGTTGTCCTGTAGCCTGAAAGGTGCCCCTGGGACACTGTCCTGGTGCTCTGTCTGCCCCGTGGTCGTGGGGCCCCTGACCCCCCAACAGCGCCCCGAGCTCCCAGACCTGTGGGATCCGTGGGGGCTCGGCTGACCCTCAGGGTGCTGGGGTGTCTGGGCCCCAGGTGAGGAGCTGTGTGCCCCGTGGCCCACCTGGACCCCTGTGCCTTGCAGCTTCTTTCCGAGAGTCAGGGCCACGTGGCACACCTGGTGAACGCGGTCAGCGACATCCTGGACGCCCTGCGGAGGGACCGGGGGCTGGGCTGGCCACGCCTCAAGGCTGACCTGCAGAGGGCGCCGTCCAGGGGCACCCGGCCACGGGGCTGTGCAGTCGGTGAGTGCCGGGGCTGAGCTCCCAGTGACACCCAGGGAGCAGCGGTCCGGGTCTGACCGGAGGGCCCTGCCTGGCATGGCCGGGTGGGCAGAGGAGCCCAGAGTGGGGACAGTGGGGCGGGGTGTGCGGGCTGGGCCTTGCTGTCCTGAGTCACCCTCCTGCCCCTCCAGGCTCCCGGCCCCGAGACTGCCTGGACGTCCTCCTGAGCGGACAGCAGGACGACGGCGTCTACTCTGTCTTCCCCACCCACTACCCCGCCGGCTTCCAGGTCTACTGCGACATGCGTACGGACGGGGGCGGCTGGACGGTGAGTCTCAGCCTCGCTCTGTCCACGCCGTGGAGGCAACAGACGGGCGTGCGTCCCGTGGTTTTCCTCAAGTATCACTCGGGGGATGTTTAAAATTCTTCTTTTGAGTCAGGCAAGGGGCATTATGGCACACACCTGTAAAGCCAGCTGCTCAGGAGGCTGAGGCGGGAGGATTGCAAGTTTGAAGCCACTGGGCGATTTAGCAAGAACTTATTTCAAAATAAAAAAATAAAAAAAGCTCAGTAGCAAAGCCCCTGCCTAGCACGTGGCAGGCCCCAGTACTGAAAAACATTCTTTATTTTTGGGGAGGGCAGTTTGTTTGTTTTGGTTTTTGAGACAAGGTCTCACTGTGTAGTCCAGGCTGGCCTCGAACTCAGTGATCCTTCTGCCTCAGCCTTAGCCCTGCAACCTCAGCTGGGGTCACAGGTGTGCATCACCACGCCCAGCCATTTTGATTCTTTCACTTTCAAATGCCCACAAAAGCAGGTGCTAGCAGGGACCATCCTGCAGCCGGGGCTGGCTGACCCCGGTCAAGAGCCGGCAGTGGCTGACGGTGTTGAGCTCACTGCCACCCTCCCCTAAATTTCTGGGTTTCGATCCTGAAGGTTTCGTGTAGTTGGGCACGACCAGCCATAGCAAGATTGTTGTATAAAGATTACAAATGTGTGTCCTTTCCTTTATGCAAACTGGGGTGCTGGGCTCGGTGAGTTGTGAGTTGTACCCTGTTGGCCAGGTGACCTTGAACAGTGAACAATCCATACCACTGTCCCTGGGTACCACCCTGAAAACTGCTTGTCCATCCACACAGATGTGTTGCTGGTAATTCATCCAATGCACAACAGAGAGTGTTAGAAATTCTCAGCTTCCCATTTAGTTGAGCACCTACTGTATCAAGCACTAGGGAGTACAGAGTTGGTGAGGCCCCTCTCCAGATCTCTCAGGAGCTGGGAGACTGGGGAGGCTCTGGACCGACTTCCTAGGGAAAGGAGACTTTTTTTTCCATCCTGGTAATTGAACCCAGGGCCTTTGAACTGAGCGACATCCCCAGCCCTGTTTATTTTTTATTTTGAGACAGGGTCTTGCCAAGTTCCTAAGCAGCCCAGACTGCTTCCTCCTGCCTCAGCCTACCAGAGTGCTGGGATTACAGGCATGCACAGCCACGCAGGGCTGAGAGAGGGCTTCTGAGTGTGTGGGGGACAGCAGCAGGTCCAGGGGTCAACCGCACAGGGCGCAGGAGTCAGAGAGCAGGGACACACAGATGCAGTGGTGGGACAGGGCCCGTGAAGAGACGAGGCCGGGGTGTTGGCCTCCAGGTCGGAGGGTATGGACAGCACTGGGGAGCAATGGAGGGCGCTGGAGAAGAAAGGTGGGTGAGAGCTGTGCTGGGGCTGGAGCTGCAGCGTCCGTCCGGGGCTCCGTCTGGCTGTGGCGCTCAGTCGCGCTGCATGGCTTTGGCGAGTTCCTGAGCTTCTCTGGACCTCACCTTCTCAAGGGCCGCGGCAGGAAGTGGCTGGTGGGGCAGGAGGGGAGCACCCTGGGGGGCAGGAGGCAGGGCCACTCTGCCAGGGACTGGTGAGGACACAGGGTCCCTTGGGAAGCCTCTCTTCTGTCTTCTTCTGCTGTCCAGCCAGTGGTTCAGGGTCTACACTGCCCGCAGGTAACCCTTGGGTGGGGGCTGCTTGGGCCTCCCGCCAGCCCTGAGGTCAGGAGGAGGGGCGTGTAAGGCGTTGTCTACCTCAGCTCCTGGCTGCCCCAGCCTCCTCTGCCCCAGGCTAACAGAGCGTTTCCTGTGTGATCTGGAAGCCGATCAGTCACCAATGACCAGGGGCCACAGCCCTGAGACCCCGTGCCTCCAGCTCCCCACTGGAAGAGGGGGTCCGCGGGGCCCAAGGCACAGAAATGGGGTCCTGAGGCACTCAGGGTGTCCGACCTTGGCCTGGGCAGGCCCTCGCCTCTCCCAGGAGCGCGTTGAGTACTTCCGCTGTGTGCCTCCTGCCATCCAGGGGAGGTGCCGGACACCCCTGCAGCCAGTGACCTGGAAGTGTGTGGTGCGGGCTTTGGGGTCCTGGGGGTCCAGTTTGAAAGGGGTCAGCACCCCCAGGAGAGCCAGGAGGGCAGAGCAGGCTCCCCCGGTGACCCAGGGACGCTGCCCGCCAGCCCTGCCGTCCAGCTTTCACCCTGCCTGGGTCCATTCTGGGGTTAACAGCGCTTTGTCTTCCTAACCGCGAGGAGCCAGCGTGATGGGCTTTGCTCTGCATCCCTGGGCTGGAACCAGAGTCGGGGCCAGCGTGGCTTCATGAGCGCCACTCCCCAGCCGGGACCAGGGGCTCGGGCTGTCAGTGCGGAGGATGAGGAACAGGTGCCCATATCCCAGGGGCTCTGGAAGGAGGCCGCTGTTCAGGAAGTACTGGCGTGGCCAGGGGACGTTGGTATCCATTTGGGCCCTCAGCAGCGACCCTCTGGGCGTCCATCAGGATCTCCTCCTGCCACCCCGAGGCTCCGGCCTGAGTGAATGAGGTCTGACCTGCACTTCTAGGGATGGAGCTGTCCCCCGGGGGCCTCACTCGCTCAGGCACCAAGGCAGACGACCCACCTCCGGCCTGGGTGAGGCCCCTGGCAGCGTAGAGACCCGGGGGCTGGGCTGGAGTGGGGTTCGGGCAGGGAAAGGGGGGCTTGCTGGGGCCCGGAGACTCTGAGTTGCTGGCCTGGGTGGTGCACGGGGATCTGGGCCAGGGCCAGGGCCAGGAGGGAGGCAGGCAGGAGGCCGTGGCGCGAGCCTGGTGTCTCAGGTGGCTTCTGAGGCAGGGAGGTGGAGGAGGAAGAGGAAGGGGGGGTCCTCTCCTGTCCTGCAGGCCGCATTGCCGAGCTCTTGTCTTCGTGTGATCACCACATGGTCAGCCAGTCGGGTCCCATTCAGCATGGACAGCAGGGACCTGGTCTGGAAGTGATTCGGCTCTGTGCCACCCACTCCCCCCGCACCCAGAGACGCCAGGCTCGCACCCGTCTGCCGGGCGTCACCAGTGTGGGGGTCACCCAGTCAGATGTGCCCCCAACTGGATCTGCTGTGAGAGGGCCTGGCCCCCACCTCCCCACCTCCCTGCCAAGCCCTCCAGGCGGTAGGAAATCCAGCCCTCGCTCAGGAAACTTCGAAGAGCTCGGTGGCTCAGGAGAGATGAAAGCCCCCGGGCGCTGGGCACTGGGGACCCAGGTCCGAGAGGCAGCGCGCTCCCTCCTGCTGGGCTGCACTGTGGCCAGGTCCCAGTCCCGAGTCCCGAGGAGCAGGCACGGATCCCGAGGCCACCGATTAGTAATGAGTGGGTGGCGGCTGACAGGGCGGACCCGGCTAACTGCACTTTGTCACCTGGGTGCAGAAAGCTCGGCCCGGAGCAGCTGGGGTCCCTCGGTGTTAACGTGAATGGGATCCCGCACGTGGAACGCCCAGCCGGCGCCCACTTGATAAATGGCAGCTCTGGGTGTGTCGTGCCAGGAGCCGGCAGGCGCTGCTGCCAAGCCCGGGAAGCGTGGAAGGCCGCCAGTGCCGGGGGTACCACTTCCAGTCAACAACAAGGAGTAGGCCCGCTCCCTTCTGGGCTCAGCAGCTGGCTCCGAAGGGGAGGATGGAGGCGGTCAGACCCGCGGGCCCTGTCTCGCTCAGTCCTCCTCTGCCACAGCCCTGTGGGGACTTGCAGGAGGGAAACTGAGGCTCAGAAAAGGTCCGTGTGCGTCCAAGTCACAGCCGCAGGAGCCTGCCGGGCGCTCACTCGTCCCCGTGTCTCTGGCTGTCCGCCTGCCCTCCAGGGCCCTGCTTCCTCCACCACTCTGGGAGCGTCCATCTCCCCCAGGGGCCCCAGACCCAGCGAGGAACCCTAGGCCTCTGCCAGCCACGAGCCCCGGCCAGTGATTGTTGCAGTTACTGCGTGTCAAGTGCTGGCACTTTTATTCCTCACGCAAGCCTTGGGGCTTTGGGAGGTCAAAATCCCTGCTTTATCAATGGGGAAACTAAGGCACAGAGCCCAGAGGGCTGAGCAGGCTGGGAGCAGTGGGCTCCAGATCTGGGCCTCCACCCCTCCTAGTGCGGTGAGCTGTCTGGGGGTCAGCATCACCCCGTGAGCCCGGGTGTCAGTGGGACCCGGTGTGGCGCTTGCTCTGCAGGTGAGCTGTGACGGGAGTGGTCGCAGAGCCTGGGCGCAGTCTGGGTGGAACCTGGCCCGAGTGCCAGCCAGGTGCTCCCGGGACAGAGCTGGGTGAGGCTCAGCGGCACCCTGGCTGGCCCTCGGGCCCCGGCCACACTCAGACTTGCAGTGTGTTATGCGCTGCGCCCCTCCGCCCTGGGGCACAGACTCCGCCCCACCCGTGTCTCCATCTGCCGGGCTGTGGCAAGAGGATGCCGGCCTGGCACCGGGGTGACCTTGGAGCTGGCTCAGGGGCTCGGGAGGTGGGCCCCGTGCTCCTGGGCGGGGGGACAGTGCTGCGGGGTTGTCCTGGCTGGGCCTGGACGGGGCGCGTGAAGAGTGCAGGGCGATCTCCAGCTTGTCCCTCGGCCCTGGGGTCGGAGCTGGACAGACACACCCCTGTGCAGTTGTCCTTCCGTGGAGCCTGCACCATCTACGGCCCACATGGGCCCGGCTCCTTGGCAGAGCCCCTTGGCAGTACTTCCCAGGAGCGCCGGGTGGCGAGGGCTGGCTCCTGAGACTCAGCGTGGAAAACATGCTCTGTCTGTCTGCCCACCCGTGGCTGCAGCGGGCGCGCCTACATCCGCCACGTCCCCTCCCAAAGCCCGGGCAGACGCGGGGCGCTGGGCCCCGAGGGTCGCTGGGAGCAGGCCGTCCTTCTGCCTGGTCTTTGTTTCGCCAGCCCTTTTTGCCTCAGCAGGGATCCGAGGGGCAGGGGCGGGAGGAGGGCAACGTGGCCACACCCATCTCCTCCGTGCTCCCTTTGGTGTCTTCCGGCCCAGCGGATCTTGATTAAAGGCTTCTGCTGGGTGACATCCCAGTTGCTGGTGTCTCTGAAGTCAGCCAGTGCGCAGAGAGCTGGAGCCGCAGCTGTGGCTCGCGCCTGGCCTGAATCGGGCTGTTGACCTGCAGTGCCGGGGCCCTTGGCGCTTTGGGGCTGTGGGGCACCGTCCTGGGCACAGGGTGAGTGTGGGGCGCCGGGCACCCTCATCACTGGGAGTCTGAGCCAGTGACACGGACTGCCCTGGCGGGACCTGGAGGGCAGCGTTTCTCAGGCCACAGGCTGTCACCGTTGACAGGTGTCAGAACCGTTTCCGTGGGCTTTGACCAAGATTATTTCTTACTAAGACAGGGTGAAATCGCAACGATCACAGTAGGAAATACCAGGCTGCATCCTCCTTAGAACAGGGAACTATTTCCAGGAGATCTCAATTCAGAGAGAAATGTGTGCGTGCACTTGTGTGCACTTGTGTTTCTCTGGGTCGTGGTCACTCTGCGCGGGCGAGTCACGGTGTGGCCTTCCCTGGGGGGGTCCCGGTTCAGCACCACTCAGGTCTCAGGACCCGTGTGGCAAACACTGGGCGTAGTTTCCAAGATCTCAGCAGGAATGACGCCGGTCTCCACTTCCACGTCCTCTTCTGGGCGGTGCTGAAAAGCAGGAGCACAGGAGGCCCTGGGACGTGGTCACCGCTGTTAATCAGCATGTGGATGGAGCTTGGGGGACGGTGGGGGACGGTGGGGTGATGCTGTGAGCAGCACCTAGCTGGGAGGGCAGTGGGTGAGAGTTCAGATCTTGGCCTCTGGGCTGGAGGCAGATCCTCTGGAGGTTTGGGCCCTGCACGCACCCCAGAAAGCTGTGCCTCCCGCAAGCCTTCCTGTAGGGCCCCCTGGGCACCCCTGCACCTCGGGCCCCTGTGCAGCCCCGGCTGGGCATGGCCACCTGGGAGGGCAGTGCTGTCCCCAGCCCCCTTCCCCTCTTCCCCATGGGGCTCTCTGTCTGGTTTGGACGGATTTCCGGGGTTTGTGCCCCGCCTACCCCCTTTCTCCCTCACAGCAGCAGGACAGGCTGTAGAGGGGCAGGGGAATGAGCCGGGTTAACCCTCACCAAGGTCCTGGGAAGCCAGGCTTTTCCCTGGTGGGGGGAGGAGGGCTCAGTAGGAGGACGGAGCAGCTGCCCTCCTTTCCTGCAGGGCCACCTCCCAACTTCCTGGAAGTCAGGCCCCACTGGGCAGCCCTGCTCTTTCCACCGGCTTCCCACCTGGGCAGGGGCACCCTGAGGGCAGGGCTTGACCTCAGGCCTCTTGGCTCAGGTCCCCAGCTGGCATCTCGAACTGAGGATCTCCACGGAACATTTGTAGGAATGAGAGGCTCCTATCGGGCTGAGCATAATGACTCGTGCCAGCACTCTGGGAGGCTGAGGCAGGAGGGTCACAAATTGGATTCCAGCCTGGGCAGCTTAGCTGGCATTTCCTGACCTCCTCCTATGTAGCTGGCTCTGAGCTCATTGGGCCATCAGAGCCCACGGGAAGGTCCTGCTCTGATTCCATTCTGCACACAGGAACACCGAGGCTCTGAGGGAGAGCGACTCAGTAGGACACCAGAACCCCAGTCCACTCAGCCGTGGCCCCAGCGCAGGGCCAGCAGCCTCCAGTGCCAGCTGTGCCCCAGGCTCCAGCGCCGGCAGCCCTGCCCCTCTGTGCAGCCCAACACCCTCTGGGGAGCCTCCGCTGCTAGGATTAAGCCTTTCCCGGGCTGCGTGCTCAGGGTCCCAATCTCAGCTGTCGATAAGGCTCCCTGGTACCTCAGATCTCAGCCAGGCTGGGCTGATCAAATTTCCTGAGGACTTTGAAATTTCAGGGCTGGGCCTGCAGGTGAGGGGAGTGAGGTGTCACTGCCCCTCCCAGCTCCCTGATGGTAGAGCTGCCCTGAGGCCTGTGACCCCCACCCCCCACCCCGTCCCCACCCTGATGCCCAGTGTCTGGCCTGCGCTCACCCCGGCCCGGGCCGGTCGTTCTGAGCCACTGAGATCCAGCTGCTTAGTAATGAAAGCGGCACTCAGAGCCCTCGGAGTCGCAGCCAGAGCTCTGCACAGTTGGAGGGGAGCGGCCAGGTCTGCGTGAACGGGCTTGTTATCCAGAGGCAGCGAGGGTTGGGTGGCCTTCATTTCAGAGCAGTGTAGCCCAGGGGTTCCAGGCCCCCGGCTGGGAATGTCATCCCAGGAAGCATAAGGGCAGCTTGCCAGCTCCCACCCCAGTCCATGGACTCCCCTAAGGAGCGGTTTGGACTTGGGGCTCCCGGGTGCCCCCAACCCTGGGCTATCTGAGATGGGACTCTGGAGGCCAAGCCTAAGCTGGGGTAGCTGTTTCAAAGCTTGAGAATAGGGCCACACCTGGTGGTGCACACCTGTAACCCCAGCACTCTGGGAGGCTGAGGCAGGAAGATCCCATGTTGGAACCCAGCCTGAGCAGTTTAGGAATTTAGCAAGACCCTGTCTCAAAACAAAAAGTAGAAAAGGGCTGGAGATGCAGTTCAGTGCAGCAGCCCAGTATCACCACTAAAAAGCAGCAAAACACCACCCTCAGTGACAGCTTTCGTTCTATTTTATTGTGACCTGGAAAATTCCATCGCGACTCTTGTCCCTTCTTCATCACTGGGGAAACTGAGGTCCAGTGCCAGGAAGGGCCCAGCCTCCTGCATCGGGCAGCAGAGGCCCGCTGGAGGCTGGGCGTCCTGCAGTCCATGGAGAGCCCTTCTTGCGGACTCGGAAGGTGTGTGGCTGGTCACTCAGTCCCACCCTGGTCACCATGCTGCTCTGGAGCCGGGGCTGGGAGCTGTGGAGGGCAACGGGGGCCTGGTCAGGATCGGGGTTAGGGAGTCGGGGTGGGGCGGGCCCGCGGGGACCATGGTAGGCGCCAGCTCTCCCTCCTGCCCTGCAGGTGTTCCAGCGCCGCCAGGATGGCTCTGTGAACTTCTTCCGGGGCTGGGATGCGTACCGGGAGGGCTTCGGCAAGCTGACGGGCGAGCACTGGCTAGGTAAGAGCCCCGCCCCGAACAGACGTCCTCCCAGGGCTGCATGATTGGGCGCTGCCCCGGATCTGGAGCCACCACTCAGGCCTGGGGACCACGGGCAGGGTCGAGAGCAGCAGGGACCCTGCGGGGCAGTGCTGTGGGGCCTGTTAATGCCGTTATGACGCAGCATCCACCTTCAAATGCGCTCAGTGTTTTGAGGGTGTTAGATGCCTTCTCTAATTCCACTCTGATCGGGAACAATGCAGGGTCTCGCACGTGGATGTGTCCGGGCAGCGGCTGAGCCGGGGTTTGAGTTGCTGTCGTGTGGGGATCCGGTTGACGCACGACACAGTGACTGCTCACCATTACCCCAAGTCCCCGTGCACCCCGTGTGGGTACCCGGGAGGCCAAGTGCATGGTGGGAGGTGGGTGGGGGCAGGGGAGCCTGGTGCCTGGTGCCAGGTTGGGCCTGGAGGCCCCAGGTCCGTAAGGGCTTCAGTGAGACCATGGGTGCCAAAGGCAGGGCAGAGGGGCGCGGTGCCCGCTCCTGGGCTGTCGTTAATGTCGGCTGCCCCAGCCTGGGGTCCGGAGGGCAGGGCCTCCCCTTCCTTGGCCCGGGGAACCAGGGGGCTGCCCGCAGGAGTGCAGTGCCACCGCTGCGCACCCTGTGACCCGCCTCCCCCTGCACCTGCTGACGTCTGTCCCCGAACCCTCACACCGCCTGAGGGGGGCAGCTTCCCCTCCTACAAGGAAACCGGGGCTGGAGACGTGCGGTCATGTTACAAGCCTGTGTTGGTGGGGTGTGTCCCCTGCAGGGTCCCGCGCCGGGGAGAGCAGCTTTGAACCACGCCCTGGAGGGGCGGGACTGCGAGGCCCCGGCTGGGGAGCCCCCTCCCGGTGCCCACATGGGGGCACGAAGGGAGAAGGCGGCCACCCACTCCCATCAGCCCCAGCGCCCCGCTGCTCAGAAGCCACCACAACTCAGTTGAAATCTCTGTGGGCTCAGGACGAGGAAGTGCTTAGGCCAGGCCTAATCAGCCCTGCAGGCGCCAGGCGGGCCTGGGGATGGAGCCCCCCGGCTCCCACGCCTCCTCTCACCCCAATGTCTGTCTTTTCCCGTGGAGTTATAGGAGCTCTTTATGTACTAAGGTGACCAGTCCTTGGTCCAGCGCCCAGGGTACATATCTACTCCCAGGCATTTGTCTTCCAGCCTTGTTCTTTCCTAGAAGTTTTAAATTTTTACGCGGTCATTTCTACCGGTCTTTTCCTTCCTCTCTTCTGAGTTTTAGACCCTGCTTTTGCCCCCAGGTTCATCAGTGTCTCCCGGTGTATTGTTCTTTGCTTTCCCGTTAGTGTTTTGGGCTGGGCTCTCAATCCACCTGCAAGCTCTCCGGTGGACTGAGGCAGGGCGCGCGGGGCTTCTGCGCCGCACCCCCTATCCCTTGCCCCTGGAACCTGCAGTCAGAGGGACAGTGGGCTGCATCGAGCAGTCCCCGGGCTGGCAGAAGTCCCTGGCGACCAGCAGGGGCTGGAGAAGCCCGGGGAGCTGGAGGGGAGGTGGGGACCAGTGTCGGGGAGGCGCACCCAAGCCCAAAGGCTGCCCCTGGTGGGGACCCTCGGCGCAGACACCCTGTGGCGGCAGAGAGGGAACCGCTGCCTCCCGTTCAGGTCCTCTCAGAGCGTGGGACTCGTCCCCGGCAGGTCCGGCTAAGAGCCTGGGGTCACATCCACAGAGTGGCTCTGCTTCTGAGTAGCTGTGCAACCCAGGCCAGCTCCTTAACCTCCCTGGGCCCCTTGTCGTCCTCGGAGGACAGGAGAGAAGACAGCACTTGCCTCCAGGGTGACTGGGGACACCCGGATGGGAGCGGTGGGAAGGGCTGTGGGGTGCCGGGGCCCACCAGACCCGACTGTCTCCCTGGGAGCCTCCTGGCCCCACATCCACCCTGGGGGGTCACCTGTGCAGGGGCCCAGAGGCGGGGAGCGACTCCCCGAGGGCCGGGGCTGACATAGGGGACGCTGGCTGAGGTCCCGTGGCCGTCATCCTTGCTCTTCCTGGGCTGCTCCTGCCGAGCCAGAGCCTGGTGGGTGGGAAGAAGCCACTGCCCTGCGGGTGGATGGGGTCTGTCCTGTCTTCCTGCCCTGCTGGCTCACACTGGCCCCAGGGGCTGGCGCAAGGCAGGCAGGGGGTGAGGCTGATGAAATGTCACTGCCGCTGCCCACCCGGAGCATGTGATTAAACGCCCTCTTAATCAGGAGTTAATCACAGGCAGGGAGCCGTGTGTGGCCCGGGAGGGGTGCAGAGGAAGGGACAGGGCAGGGCAGGCGGGCAGGTGTGGCTGCGGTGCAGAGCCTGACGGGGGCAGCAGGCGCCAGCGTGGCCTCTGTGCAGGACCAGCTGCTGGGAACAGGACTGGCACCCAGGGTGGCGACCCAGAAGGTGCCTGAAAGTGCCCGGGGCAGGGGCTGGGACGGATGCCCGGAGGTGCAGAGGTGCAGAGGCCCAGAGGCTGGGGCGGGAAGGCAGCACCAGACCGGCTCCTGCTGTCTTTCCCCGGCTGTCAGCTCTAAGGAGCATTTGGAAAGCACGGCCAATTTAAAGAGTAAACCAAACGGGAACACCTGGCAGTCTCCGCTTCCTGCCAAACAGACCCGCAGGAAGAAGGCAGCAGCGTGGAGCAGAGGCGCACTTGCCGCCAGTTGTCCTTGCCTCGCCAAACACGCGCTCCCAGCCCCCCAACCCCTCTTTCTTTCTCGGCCGCCTCCTCGCCCACCTCTCCCCTCCAGGGCTCAAGAGGATCCACGCGCTGACCACGCAGGCCGCCTACGAGCTGCACGTGGACCTGGAGGACTTCGACAACGGCACGGCCTTCGCCCGCTACGGGAGCTTCGGCGTGGGCTTGTTCTCGGTGGAGCCCGAGGAGGACGGGTACCCGCTCTCCGTGGCCCAGTACTCGGGCACCGCAGGTAGGAGGACGCTGGGGTCTCGCCGGCTTGCGCCCCG